CAGTACGTGCATAATCGAGGGGGGGGGGGTCAGTGTTTCAATTGTGATGTTTAAAGATGAAAATTCTGAATTTGATTTTGTAAGTTTGATCATTTTATTTCTTACCAAAGATTTATCGGTAACAAGTTGAAACAGACATGTTTGTTATATTGTCGTACGCATCTATACTAAAAATTTGTGTTATCGGCATTCATTTTCACTGCAAATTTACACCTGACAACCTAAGTATATGCATACAAACATCGTGCAATACAATATGTGGTAATAGTTTCCTTTTGAGTTTACTTGATGATTAAGTATAGTGCCTTGCAAAAGTATTATCCCCCCTGCAAAGTTTCCACATTTTGTTGCCATCTGAGCTTGCAGTAATGAGACTTTCATATGGAACTTTATATTTAGAATCTACACAATCTACCCCAAACTGAGAAAGCTAAAAAAATGCTGATATTATGTAAGTACGTTAGATTTTCAAAGAAAATTAGAATATTCTCAATTGCATAAGTATCCAGTTCCTTTACTATGGCAACCCTAAATCAGTTCAGGTGCAAAAGATTAATCTAAAATGTCACAAAATTAGTGTAATGGTCTCTGTCTGGTTGTAATCAAAGTGGTTTAAGAGTAAGTGCATCTGTTCAGGTCACAACTCACATAGTGATAAGACAAACTAACCATGAAGACCAAGGAGCTTTCCAAACAAGTTAGGATAAAGTGGTAGAGAAGCACAGATCAGGAGAAGGTTACAAGAAAATTTCAAAGTCACTGATTATCTTTTTGAGTATGGTGAAATCCATCATTAAGAAGTGTAATGTGCTTCAATACACCCAGGCTCTACCTAGATCAGGCTGTCCTTCCAAACTAAGCAGCCAGGCAAGCAGGAAACTGGTTAGGGATGTCATGGCAAAGCCAACAGTGCAAAGATCAATATCTGAGATGAGTGTCAGTGATCATACATCAACAATATCTCGGTCCCTACACAAAGCCATTATTCAAAAAGAATCATCTTCAATTTCATATGGAGTTTGCGACGAAGCATGTAAATAATACTGCAGACATGTGGTAAAAATGTTTTGTGGTCAGACAAGACAAAAATTGAACTTTTGGGTCTAAATTCAAAGTATTATATATGGCACAAGCCTAACACCGCACATCACCCAGTCAAACAGGTGGTGGTGGCATCATGTTATGGGGATGCTTCTCATCAGCAGGGACTGGGAAGTTAGTCAGGATTGAGGGGAAGATGGATGGTACAAAGTACAGGTGAATCCTAGAGAAAAACCTGCTTGAGTCAGCCACGAATCTAAAACTGGGTCAAAATTTCACATTTCAGCAGGACAATGACCCAAAGCACAAGGCCAAAGCCACACTGGAGTGGTTTCAAAATAAGAAAGCAAATGTCCTGGAGTGGTCCAGTCAAAGTCTTGACTTGAATCCAATGAAAATATTTATTGCGAGGCATGAAGATTGCAGTCTATCAATGATCCCCAATGAACTTGTCAGGATTGGAGCAATTTTGCCCAGAAGAATGGGCATACATTACAACAGCCCATTGTGCAAAGACTCACAGCAGTAATTGCTGCCAAAGATGCTTCCACAAGTACTTACTTAGGGACTGAATACTTATGCAATCAAAAAATTTAAATTTATATATTTTCTTTCCAAGTTTTGCTGACATTCACCCTTCTTTTAATCATTAGTTTTTAATAAAAACAAGTTCATTAGAAATAAATTGTTTACATTATTTATATTTCATCAAAATGTGACATTATTGGTAATGGTAGGGGTGAATACTTTTGCAATGCACTGTAAATCACTAAATCCTTGTTTTTATAAAATCAAGATATAATTTTAATAAATTGTAATTAAGCAATCTTACGAGTTTCATCATGAAAACTACACAATGTTGGTGCTTCCATCTATTAAAAACTAATGTAACAATGCATTATAATCTTTTATAAGTTCAAACATAAGAAAAGTATATTTAATTAGCTATACTGATGGCCAGGTATATTTTTAGTTTCGCTCTAAGTACATGACTTATTCTTCTCAGAAGTTATTATTATTTCTTGATATTTAAATCTACAATTGCTGCACTTGTACATACACAGAGTGGTCACAAGTAAATAGACACCTAAAGCGAAAGGAAGATCTACTAGATATTAATCAAATTATAAATATATCAATTCATGTGAATATGACTGAAAAATTTAATTTTTTCTGAAAAGGT